TGCCACATCCGCATATTTACAAGACAATATTCGCTCGCGAAAACGTTTCTGGTAGAATATGGCAAATGTGTAAATAACAGACTGAGAGCATGCATCATCTCTAAAGTCCTCATTGGCGGGACATCTCGCCTTACATGTCCGTGACTGGAACTGCACGCCGATCTTCAAAAACAAGGAAGCGCTCGGTTATTTCCGGAGATTTTACAAGAACTTTACGAGGCGCAGACCATCGAAATTTATGGGGACGCCTATGTCATGAGCCTTCTGTGTCGTTGTCGGACAAGTAGCGACTATACCTCCACCATCCTAGATGACGTGTCAGGACGTGACAGTTCAATACTTTAGGCTTATTTTCAGGGGAAAAGAAAACCAGCCGCTGAATGTCTTAGAAAAAAATGCATCTTTTATAACGATAGTAAAAAAAAAAAATTGAATCGTGTGTTTGTTCATACCACGACGGCCGACGAGTGTCCCAGATGTAGATGAGCAATTTAGCCAGAGCAGTACAACCGGTCGCTTGGAGTCTTTAACGTTCACCACGCAGTAGTGTTACACCAGCAGGCGATATGAAGGTAAACGCCGGACCGTTGACCGGTCCGTGCTATCAGCGCCATGACGCGGTTGCCGTGGCGGCTCGCTTTCCTATCGCGCGCTTCACCGATAGTAAGTGCCTGGATCGAGCGCTGTTCTCACCTCAGCTGCTACTCCCCGCAGAAAGCGGGAAGATTGGGGAAGGAGCCTTTCAGACGCTATCGGTAGATAATGTGATTTAGTAGTTTTTTGTTGTGAAATGTGCTAAACCGGAATGCTGCGGGACAAATAAAAAAGTAACTTATACTTTCCGCTTCTTGAAAGGAAGAACACGATTTTGTTTCATTTGTGTGATGTGTCAGCAACCACGTCGCACTTGCGACGATGTTATATTAGCCCCATTAGAAAGAGGGCATCATTATTAGTCTTTTTTTTATGCTTAACACTTTGCAGTGCGCGCCAAAATTATTTGTCAGAAGTTAGGGCTATGCTGGAACGTGCATGTGAGCCCACCCCCCCCCAATTAATTATATATCATTTGCGATATATGATTCTCGTTACTGCATAATGAGCGGCATCATGGCGCGATGATTATTTTATTGATATTAAAGCATGTGTGCTTATGGCACATGAGCACACGTCGATCGCAAACGCCATTAAATATAGGGCAGGTCGCAATTTCGACCATTCCTTTAATGGGATTCGGACTTCCTGTTAGGCAAAACATGAGGCAGGATCCACGTCCCCTTTTTTCTTCATTCTTGACAGTTCCGGTTTGACGTCCAACAACCTTTGTCGGATTTGAGCGGGGCCTTAGTATCTTAAGAAGTTTCCCTCTCCGTGAATTACAGATTGAATCCTGTGCGGCAGACTTCCATAGAGGTGGAGCACCAGGTCGTCGTTGTTGCGCAGGTCGTTCCACTCTCGTTGGACGGCTTCACAGAGTTCGTTTGGAGATGTTTTGTGAAGCTCTTGAGTGGCCAGTTTCGACTTTGTGATGCCCCAGACGTTTTGGACGATATTGACGTTAGCGCCATTGGGAAGCCATGGCAGCTCCCGTATGCTCCGTCTAGCAATAAGCATCTTGGTGAAAAGGGAGGTGTGGATGGGACTCAGGTCGTGTAGAAACCAAAAGTCCCCATTCCCAAAGGGCCCTTCTAGGACGTAGGGGATCAAGACGTGGTCAATTATGTCTGAGTAAACTTCCGACGTCAGGCGCCCGCCGATCCTGAAGGTGGGGCCAAGTCCTTGACAGGATATGGCACTCCAGACATTCAGCCACCTACGACCACTGGCGGTCACTTCCTAGATAAAGTGAGGGCCGTATCTGCAAGGCAGTGGCAGCGTTGTTGTCTCTTTTAGTCACCGCTGAACTTGGCTATCATTACTTCAGGTAAGGCTAATATTTGTTTGTAGTTTTCAGACTTTGGCGGCGGGCGGGAAGCTTATAGCCGACCACTGCTGATTTCTCAGAAAGTCTTGGTCAATAATGGCCTTGGACGTTGCAGGGGGAAAGATAAATCTATACATTCTATTAGCTTAAAGGTCTGACAAAGCTTACCGGAAGTTCTCAGGCCTCCGAACTCACCTCGGCTGGTCTAACTGGGTACAGAACATAGAGTTATCGCTGAAGATGACGTGGGTCCAGTCCTCCACAGTCCAATTCTGAAGAAAATGGGCGAAGTCAAGCCGCAGCTGCTTGTGCTAGAGCACTGCACGGGCCCGGGCCAGCCCGAAAGCCCGAGCCCGGCCCGGCCCGCGGGCCGGGGTCGGGCCGGGTAGCACGCATTTTCTCGGGCCCGGGCCGGGCTCGGGCTTAAACAACAAAGTTCTCGGGCCGCGCCGGCCCGGGCCGGCCCGGGCCGTGCGTGGGCAATCTTATGCCGTAAATCATAAATTGTTGTTGATAGCAAGAGGTTTGCTCATTAATATTTTAGGTTCATTGAATACAAAAAAAGCGAAGTGCAAATTCACTACAGCGTCGTTAAAAATAATAACTAAAAGACGTCTTGAAGCTAGAAAGCCTTCAAGCTTTTACCGTGTGAGCGAGGATTGTGTTATAAATTGTAAACAAAATAAAGTCCCACTCATATGCTTGTCAACCTGTCTGATTCATCTTTCTCAAAAATATCTAGTTCACAATTAGGAAGATTTAGAAAAGCGTACGCAAGCGCTTTGGGTACCGTAAAAATAGCGTTGCGATGTAAAACCTATGGCGATGCTAATTTTAGCTTGCCCAAAGTGCTTGAGTACTTTATTCTATGACTCCCTTATTGCACAGAGCGTGACACTATATTAGCGCGAACAAGCGATCGTCGTGTTTTTATGTTTATCTCATAGAATCAAAACGCTGTTTTCAAAACTATTAGTGTCTTTGGAAGTGCTCATCTGGACCACAGACCTAAGCGGTATACTTTGGTGCCTACTAACACCATTTCGAGGTAAAATTTGAAAAAAGAGCCAACGTCGTGTTGGCGGTATCAATGTCGCGCAGTGTACATAGTCCGTTCCGCGCTTGCACGTTTTGGGAACCATCTTAAAAAACGTTTTAAGGGGTTAAGTAGGAATATATTAAACTTAAGCTTGCCTGAAAGGGTTGTATATTTTAAGAACGCGTTGACATGTAAAGCTACTTCAGAACATATTCTTAAACAGAAAAGGTGCGCAGACCAGGCTTAGAACGATGGAGACTTTTTGCGAAGAGGTTGCGATGTGCAGGGACTTTTAAAAGTAGGTTGAAACGGGACGCGTTCAAACGCAAAGGGTGTTTCGGAAACTGGTTCAAATAAGAAGCGCGTTTAGGGAATGGGTCGAGACAGGACAAATTCAAACGAGAAGGGCGTTGAGGGAACTGGTCGAAACGGGACGGGTTCATATGGGAAGGGTGTTTAAAAAGTGGGTCGAAACAGGACGGGTTCAAATGGGAAGCTCGTTTCGGGATCGGGTCCAAACAGGACGGGTTCAAACGGGAATAGGTTGTTTCGGGCTACAGCCATTGGGCCGGGTCGGGCGGGGCCTAGAAATTAACAATTCTGTCGGGCTCGGGCCGGGCCCGGGCCGTGTCTCTTCCGGGCCGGGTCGGGCCGGGCCTAGAAATTAAAAATTCGGTCGGGCTCGGGCCGGGCCCGGGCCGTGTCCCTACCGGGCCGGGTCGGGCCGGGCCTAGAAATTCCGGCCCGTGCAGTGCTCTAGCTTGTGCTTTTCCGTCAGCAGCGGCGACTGGCAAGCTACGCGGCTGTGTAGGCCAACATCGTAGAGGCGTCTCCGAACAGTAGTGTCGCTGATCTCGAGTTCCAATGCGTCCCTGATATCCCTGGCAGCGCGGAAAGCGTCGCCCAAGGCTGCCTCGAAGATGTGACAATCCTCTGTTGCCTTAGTTGCGCGGGGACGGCGACGGTGGGGGGCATCGTCCAAGCGTCCATCGTCATCCCGAAATGCTGCAATAATCCTTTGGACGGTTGTGACGGGCCTTCCAAATCTGCGCGATATTTGTTGCCGTGAAAGTCCTTCCTGAGCAAGGACAACGGTCTGGGCGCGCTCATTCCTTGAAACTCGCGGCGCCATTTATGCTAAAGCGGTCGAAGACAAACAGTGAACTGGAAAATGAAGGTTTAAAAGGCGAACTTGTCCCAATAGAAAATAAGTAAAGAAAGAGCGTCGAGGCAGCAGAAAAGCAGGTGGCGATTCGGCGGTGTAACAGAGAGCGAGAGCGAGACTGACTTGACAAGGTCGCGAGCAGTTGCTTATCTACAGTGCGTCCGTTTCTCGAGAGTTCGGCAAAGAAAGTTCGAGCGTCGCGCGCTCGCGACGCGAGGATGACCTGGCACTTTCGAGAACAAAAAATTAGAGGGAAAGTTGCGCCTGGTGCGAGAATGTACACGAATCTTCTAGAAGCCCGTGACTGAGCGTTGCTTGATCGGCCCTTTTCACATTTGTTGCAGTTATTAGCGATCGCTCATGAATAAAGAAAGCGGTTGAACCACGTATAAGCCTTGCCAAACAACGTCCCCTCTTGTTCACGTGCAATGTGCAAATCATTTGCCGGCAATGACGTGGGCACGGCGACCATAAAAAGAGATGCCGAAATCGAAACAAACTTCCACGCTTTAAGCAGGGAGTAGCAGCATAGCTGAGAACAGCGCTCAATCCAGGCACTTACTCTCGGTGAAGCGCGCGATAAGAAAGCGAGCCGCCACGGCAGCCTTGTCATGGCGCTGAAAAGCACGGACCGGTCTACGGTCCGGCGTTCACCTTTATATCGCCTGCAGCTCTAGACGACCTTACGCCGGTACGATGCTCATCCAGATCGAAACGGACAGGGGTGGGGATTGAACCCAGGATCCCTGCAGGCTCTGCAGCCCGAGCTTTCGCTACTTTTTTGTACTCTATTCAGTATGTTGGAGCCAACTAGCCCACCTTAATACTTTAGACTCACTGCTCAAGCTGAACATGACATGAACAGAGCTCACCTTGCTTCTGAGTTGCAGTATGGACGGCTGGACGCACTGGGCAGTGTTGGGGCTCGGAGACTTCCAGTAGCCTCTTGCATTGCAGCACCATCTCATGACACCTGCGACGTACCGTTGGCTTGATGTCTTTATCTTGCTGACAAAAGCTCTGCATGCACTGCTACCATTTCCAATACACCGGAAAAGGGTGGGGGAGGGTGAGAGGGGGGGGAGGTTCAACGGAGACCATCAAAACTTCCTAGAATAGCGCTGATGATAAATAAGTTAACTCCTCTGGGCAACCAACTGCCGACCACGGCCGGGGTGAGTGATTGCAAAACAATATATTAGAGAGTTTTACTATTGCGTATAGGAGTAAACATAAACACGTACGTTTGCGGCATCTTTGCGTGCTCCAGCCTGCGCATGCCCGTTGTCGCCATACTAAAACTTAAGACGCAGTGCGAAAGAAGCAAAGCATACACAAACGCACAGTGCTTTCGTTTGCTCGTGTAGAAAATGTCCTACCTCACTATTATTTAGCTGTGGAATTAGCTAAGGCTTACTCGTTAAGGTTTCAATTAGCGAAACTAAACGTAAGGTTCCTTTTAGAACCTTGATGAGGATTACAAAAGAAGTAAGCAAAAAGGTGAATCATCTCAATATATGAAGGTATAAAACACATTGAGCATTCCATGGCGTCTCAAAAAACGCTAAATTAGGACGCGTTCTTATGGTGAATTCCGCTCAAAGATACTGAGCGCTTCAAAAGCGGTCCATTTGAAGCGCGCATATTCCGCTCGCAGATCTGGCTGGAGTTGGTCATCTTCCGCTCGTAGATCTCTAGCAGCAACCGCTTCGTGCAGCGCCTCTAACCCTGCAGAACTAACCCGCGGGATTTCAGAGATTTTGGTGGAGGTTGACAGAGCGCGCCATGTCGATTCCTTTGACTCGGGTGCTGCCCATGCGCGACGAGGTGCCGGACGGGCCGCGCCACCGAGTTGCCGGATCTGTTCAGATGCGTTGGTTGTTTACGCGGGATTGGGAGCGGCTCGAACGCTTCTACCTCGCGTCGATAAGGGATGCAAGCTCAGGACTGGAACATGGTAAATCGTAAGCGCTGACATCTATTATCGTAAAAGGAAGAACGAGAAAACAAAGAAACGACCGAAAACAGGAAGAAGGCATATGCGAGGTTATGCCTGTTCAGTTGGCCGCCATTGATTGTTCACCTTTTAACTGCATGCTGCTAGCGTTTTCTCGTGCAATAAATCAAGAACAGGTTCGGCAACGACCGTGCAAGTGATGGTTTGTTAACTCTTTGTGTTTATTAAAGCTGCACCAGCAATTTGAACTCCACCGATGGCAATCGCTGGGTGTGCCGTGCCGAAAGGTATGTGACGGTGGCGAACGCAGGCGTTTTCCTCGTTATTTGTGACACAGGCTCCGTCGTACGTACATTTTCGCCCGGCCTTTGTCGCGTGTTATTTGTGCAGCTAAGAAGTGACAGTTGTCACTGGTCGTCAGAAAGATCAGTCGGCTGAGGCGTTGGTCGACTTGTCAAGTTCGAGCAGCGGCCATTTTGACCGGACGACCGGGTCGCTGGGTCGCCCAAAAAACGCGAGTCCATCTTCCGCTCGTCGATTCGGAGCGGCACCCACGGAGCGAAATTTTGCCTCCCTCGCAGATTCTGGAAGGCGCTCCGCATCTACCAGTGGAATTCACCATAAGGAACGGTCTCCTATCGGAGCACATTTTTCCGCCAGCGGCCCTGTCGCCATGTGCCCGAGGCGAGCCGCAATACCGCTCGCCTTTCTCGTAGCACGAACGGAAGTTTATCGAAGGTGTTTCGCTCGCTTTGACTGCCTCGGCCACATATTGGGAGGGGGGGTCAGAGAACAGACGACATGGCATGCTCCAATAGGTAATGGAAACCAAACCATTCCCTAACTGACCGTTTTTTTTTTTCACACCGTAAAATGTTGTACGTACTTTACACATTTCTAAAATAGTTGATTTAACAGTCTCTTTATGTTTCAGCCAGATTCTATTTAGAACCATATATGTTTGTTTGCCCTTATTAAGATTGCATTTAGTAAGTTTTCGTTATATAGTTATACACACGAACTCATCTCTGTTACGTCAAGGCGCGGTGGTGGCGCTTCGGGCGCACTTCCGGTTTGGGGCTGTGGGCGGAAATCTCCATGTGAGACGTGTATTCCTGCGTTTTTTTTTAAGGAACCTGACAAAAACCTGCCTTCTCGTCAAAACACCGCGACTGGGGATGTACCAAAAAAGTCGAGAAAGGTTTGAAGATCAGTTTTCATGTGCTCGGTTCGTCCGACAATGTGGATATGTGCCATGAAAATTTAAAACCAGACGCCGTCGGACCACGATGGCTAGGGCAGGAAGCACTTTGGGTTGAATTCACGGATACTTGTGGTCATCAGATTTATTTGTTTTGTTCCAACATGAACGCCGGAAAATCGTCAAGTTGTACAGACCACCTGCGGACTACGTTCAGTGCGTCTTCAAGTTCGAACGGCCGCCTGATCGTTCGAATTGTCGTGTGCTCTTTCAGACGTTTCTGCTTGTCGTCTGCTCTTTTAGACGACACCGGCCCGTAACCAAATGTTGGCCCCGTACTTGCGATAAGAAGTAAGTGCAGGCCTCAAAAGACTTAAGTTTGAAGGTAGATAAGCAGGCTCGACGTAAACAGTCGATAGAAGGAGATGTTGGTCATTGTTACCAGTGGCCATCACGGACTTGTTATGCCTGATTCACTTGGTCCGATTCTGCTTGCAATTTTTATTATCGACGCCGACCATCTCAGCTACGGTTCATGGTTTTGCAGCCCAAGCGACGTCGCGACTGAAAATTGCGAGCGTAATCTCATCATGCAAATCAGGCTTTAGCGTACAGTCTCCGGCGATATGAAAGACCCACTGGGAACGCGTGGCCGAGGCGGTGGCTGGCGGGGGCTCTGCGAGCGCTCCGGGCAATTCCATTCTGCTTCGAGGGAAGGACGCTCACTCGGGGCTCGGCACAAACTGATAAGCGCGTTTCGCTTTAGCTGAGCCCGAGTGAGCGTCCTTTCCTCGAAGCAGAATGGAATTGCCCGGAGCGCTCGCAGCGCCCCCGCCAGCCACCGCCTCGGCCACGCGCTCCCAGTGGGTCTTTCATATTGCCGGAGACTGTACATTCTGCGGCGTCCATGCGGAATGAATCGCCGCGTGTCACTTTATTCACGCGACGTTTTGAGGTGTAACTAGTCTCAGTAATTTTGCTGGGGCCACTGAAGTAGTCAGTCATTGCCAGGAAGGCGTAGAATCAACAATTCGAAGGCGAAAAAGGGCAGGGGGACTCACATCGACGCCGACAACATCACATGCGAATGGTTTGTTTATGGGCGACGGCGAGCTTCGTGCCCACACCCCCATCGCTCATGCGCGGCGCCGGTGGCGTCCGCTGGGGGCGCTCCGGTTTGTTTCAAAACATGAGTTGGTGTATATGCTGTCAAACGACAACCGTGCTGGCATTTTTGTTCCCGTATACCTTTTTTTTTGGCTTTTAACCACTTTATTTTAAGGTATTTGTGTAAGTCTTGGCTTCAACAACCAAAATAGTTGAGTGCTTTAAGGGTTGTCCAATCCAACCCGGAATCCGGTCATACGGAAACGTCCGGAATCCAGAACTGAAGACACCGGTGGTGTCATCTGTGACTCTTTCCGCGTTTCGGGAGTGTAGAGTTGGTCCCATTTTTGCGCGCCGTCGAGATGATGTTTTGATTTAAAAATTTGTTTATGTGTTACGGTACGTGTTGAACCTATATTATTTCCACCAACAGCGAGGTTGTGGCTTTCCCACGGCGGGTGATTGCCCGCAAGTCTTCCCCCTAATCCAAGGGCCGTTGCATGCAAACACACAGACCTACACAGCCAGCATAACTTCTAAGTGCACTCGTCAAGGGACAAACCGTTTCGTAAACTGGACGAAGTACCGCGAGGACTCGAGTCTCGGGCGCAGGCCACAAAGGCGGAGGACTCGGATCATGTTCCAGTGGTTGTGGAGGCTCGCTGCGAGGGTCCCGAGCGCGACAGAGGTTTACACGCGGACGACAATTTTTACGATAAGTTGATTAATGAACTGAGAATTGTTCATCAACTTTTTAATTGATGGTTTTGCAAAAAAAGTGGAAACGCAGTATTCTAGGCAATTATTATTCGAGGCCAGAAGAATTTGAGAAGAAAATATTGCGAGAAGGTTTTGGTCTTTGAGATATCACTGGATCAATTTTCGCTATTTTTCGTGAGATTTAAAGCTAGCGCGCCAAAAAGAGCGCATCATGCGTAATTAAACCTAGGGTGCCTAAATACCAGCATCAAGTTCAGGGTGGGGGCAGCAGCCGTTTTGGGTGAGAGTTTCAGCTGCTCTTGTCGGCGGTATCTTCAGTGAATGTAGTCCAAATTACGCTAAAACAACTATTCCGCCAACAAATTATATCCACACACTCTAAAAGAATGAGTACCCGATGTGGCCCTTCCATGTCAGATTGGCCCAATTACGAGGGTCAACGGGTGTCTCTACCTTGGAAGTGGCGCTATCATTAAGGCGCCCTAGCTTTAAGCTGAGTACGTTGAAGCGCACCCTCCAAGGACACGCGCCGAGATAGGGACTAAATGAGGGAAACGACGACATAACTCTTCCAACGTTTCACTGTGGACAACGGTCTTTCGAGCCCAATGTTTAAATCGGGCGAAAGAAGCGCGAAATGCCATAGACTAATTAATCATAAACCATTAAATTTTCTAAAATTCATTAAATTGGTCTGGCCTTTGATAGTATTTACCATCAATACTGTAAATCTAGCATGACACCTACAACCAAAAAGTATGTTAATTGATAAAATTTAGTTAATCAGTCACCTTACCATGACGATTATCCGCTCATCTAATGTCAACCGAGCCTGATAAATACTTGGTGACGACAAATCTTGTCTATTTCTCAACCCCAGAAAAGAAAACAAAATTCCAATTAAAAGCAAACACGCTATATCTTCATATTAGGTGTAAGTAAGCAATTCTGATGAAAAAAAATATACACATTGCTATTTTGTT